GCGACATCGGGTTGAATGTGTTAATTTCAAAATCAATATTTGTTTTAGTAGCATTACATTTAGCACACCGGTTGTCGATAGCAATCCTATTCATGATAATTTTAGTCAAAATACAAATAGCTTTAAATGCTTTTTCCTCAATTGTGGTTATCATCGTCAAGTATTATTTCTTTGGTTTTGACATTGGCCGCTCAATTATTCGATTATTTGATAGAAATATTCAAACACGTGAAAATCGATCATCAACAAACACAGGTGTTCGAATACATACGGTGAATATTCTAGGTTCAATTAAATATCGAGAATTAGAAAAGCAAAACAAACATTTATCATCTAAAATAACTAATTTAAAAGCTGCTTTGAAAACTTGTACACAGACAAAAAAAAGATAAAAACAACCCATGTGTAAATAATTCATAACATATCATATATTTAAGTGATCAGTTTTCTAGCAGGTTATTTTTTAGAAAAAAAGAATTATACTGCGATTTTTACATTACATAGTATATAATTGCCACTTGTTGAAGTGACATAAGCAGAAGCTTTCAATCTCATTAATACAAAACCAGCTAAAATGTGCTTAATTACTTCAGAAAAAAGCAGAATTAACGAGTGAATGTTAGACTTACGAAAATCCATTAAGAAAAGTAGGTGTACAAACACGTAAAATACTAGTTGTGAACGGGTAAAAACGCGTAAATCCACAGAAAAATCTACACATTTTAACGTTTAGATATGGTAACGTGTTAAAACGCGTTCAAGAAATCGTTAAAGCGCCGTATTAACGGTGCGCTATCGTTAAAACGGCGTTTTAACGAAATTCTAACGTGTTTTAACGCGTTTTTTTAAGAGTCTTGTCTGACTGGGTAATCCATATGATATAAGTGACTTTCAAAATTTTTGAATAACCTATCTTATGAATTTTTTAATGGTGCAAAATAAATCTCAATTCGATTCCTAGTTGGAAGAAAAGTCAGAGCTAACATATACATAAATGGTGCAGAAAAATAATGAAAAATATGGTTTTCAAGATAGTAGTCGAATATCTTTTGTGGCTTGGATGAACACTGTGTGCTATTTTGATTTCATTCATTTAATATTCATTTGATAGCTCTTTCTCTGCACTATCCAAAACCATAAAAAAATTTCTGGTGCCGTTAGAATTAACATAGAAATATAGCTTGCAATGAAAAAGAGAACAAGACAAAAATGCGAAAAAAGCAGTAGAGTTGATTTAGTTTCGCAATTGTTGTACCTACAAAATTGAGAGTGAGGAGAAGATGACATATGCAGTTTTGTAGAGCGAAACTCGCTCTATCAGATGGTATATTACTCAAAAAGATTGTGAGAATTCTCAGTGGAAAAATGACCAAATACTGACTTACCAAATTTTTCAAAACCTGTTGAGGGTGCTTTCAGTTTGTACTTCATAACTTTTTATCGGTGAGTCAGAATGAGCTAAAATTTTGGATTTATACGTTTCTCACTTTGTTCTTTCATTTTCAATCATAAAATATAGGGATCAAATTTTTCGAGAGTATGACCCTAGTGAAAAATGTTCGATTTTCTCGTGGACCCTCTCTTAATTTTATTTTATAGATGCTTTGCAAAGGTAATTTGATGGAACTGCTGTAGAATTGGATGATGAACATATCTTTCGATTTGAAAAAATTAGTCTGTATTCAAAGAAAAGAGTGAAATGAAATGTCTAATGAGATTTGATTGTTTTAAACATGTGTTCTTTCAAATGTATTCATTAACTCCAAGTAAAAGCAAATTCAACTAGGGGTGTTAGTTTATGGTCAATTTATAAAATAAATATAAATACAATCTATATATTTATAAAATAAAGATTAATAAAATTGTTATTCATATAAAGTAAAGATAAAAGAAAGAATAAAGAAAGACTTTTTTCCTGTGATAGGTAAACAGGCAAATGCCTAGGATGCCAAAAAATACGTTAATCAATAGTCTTTCAAATCACTGGCATCACTTCAATATAGGATCTTATTAAAAAACGAAGTTGATGAAGGGGAAACACATGCAAAAAACTTTGTTGTACATTTTATTTATATCTATAGTATCATCATTCTTTATGAGCTACTTCGTAAAAAAATTAAAAATTATATACTCATAGAAAAAAATCTCTTTACTATTTATTTTATCTCTATTTTTGAAAATAAAGAATTCATTTATCTTTATTTTATCAATATAAATATTCACTTTATCTTAATTTTATATATATATAAAGATTTTCTTTATCTTTATTTTTTAAATAATAAAGATCCATTTATTTATTTATTTTTATTTTTCAAAAATAAAGAATTTATTTATCTATATTGTATAAAAATAAAGATTTTATTTGTATGTATTCTTTATAAAAAGAATAAAAATAAAGTAATATCGCTGAATTCCACAATGGAACGTACGTCTGACTCATTTTCTCTTCACCTCTTGGATGATTTGACATTTATTAGTGAAAGTAAAGAGGTGCTTGCTTGGCATCCCATTCTTTAGTATCACACTGAGCAGTATCTATCGAAGACACACTCACTTTTTTTTCTTATCTCCAATTTTCGAAAGTGGACTTTGCTCACAAATAGCACAACCCACTCAAGTATCTCGTATATTTCTGTGCTTGATGAACCTCGTTCTCTTACTTTCTATACTGCGTAGAAAGAAGCGACAGCGAGGATGACTAGACGCAGCTAGAGCAAAATGAAGGAAAGAGAGAGAAAAAAAGAAAAGAGAGAGAAAAAAAAAGAAAAGAAAAAATGTTCTTTCCTTCGGAGCACCATATATAAAGGCAAGTTCTATCACCAGTGTACATTCACATTCATTTCAAACAACTGCTGTTACTACTCTCACGATTAGCTAAGTAAGTAGAATCTTTCTATTCATGTCTCAGAAGCAATCAGAATTTTTTGTTTTTTCTTTATAGAAATCGAACGATGGAACCAATCAAAGCTGGTATTGAAAAAGTCAAGGAGACAGTGCAAGGCAATAAGGTACAAGAAAAAGTCGAGAAAGCCAGAGATCCAGCCGTGAAGCCGGGTGAACGCGTTGATGCAGCACTCGATGCTGGCAAAGCTAAAATCAAGGAACAAGAGCATGCTGTCAAGAGCGATCACCACAAGAACAAGCATTCTGTCCACTGAATGACGATTTCTTCTGATGAACATTTTCTTGGTTTTTTCTTTATGTACGTTAATCGTAGTAGATTCTTCGTGCTGTAGACTTCTCTTTAAAGAAAAAGTCACCTATCTCGACTAATGTCTTATTTCTATTGTTTCTCTTTTCTTCTCAATATCATGATGTGACAATTTTTAATAGAAGACGTTCCAGCACCGGTGGAATAACGTTGTCTGAAGAGAAGGTTCATCAGAATACCAACGTATATATAGTATGGGACTGGTCGGAGGTCGATATTCGATGTTCGGTTTAGACTCTTGAAGGCAAGCCCGTGGTGTGAAACTTCTACATCCAATGTTTCAGTCTTTTTCTCTTCTGACTTCGTTCTGAAAAACACGGGAAATGACAAGGTGTCATACTAGAGTTCACCGTTGAAAAAATTGATTCCTTTTTCATTTTTTTACAGATATGTCTTATTTTGCGATTTAATCTGCAGTACTGGGATCGTTCAAGTCGTGCAATACTTCTAGAGATACTCTCTTACATGAATCCTCAAACATACTCTGAGATTGGCAAGGATGATGACAATGATGTGTCATGCTGTCATTGGACTTAGTCATCAAGGAGTATCAGCAACCTTGCCGGCCAGAGTCACTTCGTGCCAAAACGATATACTTGCATATTCTGAAAGTCCATCAAGAACTGCACCGCCTGGTGTTTTATTCAAAAGGAGAAACAATTAGCGGAAAAGTTAACCGAACTTGACCGACTACCAGTATCAGTAGCATATTTTAAGCATTCATTCGACTCGTATTCGTCATATATCTCTACTATTTGTACTCAAAATTAAAACACAATGACAGACTCTTGCAGGCAACACTACAGTTTTCCAGAGGACCCAATTAGTGATTTCATCAGACACACACCCAACACTATACTTTGACTATCCATATTTGATAAAATGTTTTTTTTTAAATCTAAATTGATAGTTGTTTACACTTTTCAAGGACTATAAGATGCACTAATTAGTTATTGTTTTTGTTCCAGCTCATATACCAAGAAAGGCTATGTTGTTCGAATATAGCATTGGCCGATGGCCATCCGAAAAATGACGTATGAATATTTTCTCACTGTGCCAGCCTATTTGTCTGAAAATTTCACCATAGATGCAGCTCTCTTAGCTCTATCAACTGACAGTATCAACATTTTGTATTGGTGTAATTCGTCAGTGGCTTAAGTTTAGAAGAAGTCCTCAAAATCTCTAAATGTGCATGTAGATCATTGTTTAGAAAATTTCGTTTTTTTTCTCTTGGTTCTTATTTGCAGAATTCAGAAGAGCATAATTATGGCGTTGAAAGAATTTAATTTAATTCCGTAGTGCTAGATTCGATCTGAAATATGCACGATGCCAACATATCCCAGTCAAGTGAATAATGAAGAAATGGTCATTAAAATGCCTTATTACTTGTAGCTAGACTATTTCGACCATTAAAATGCATCTTTCCAAATAAATAATGGTGAAATGGCCGTTAAAACGAATAATAATTCATTAATGAATAATTTTGACCATTTTACAATTACGGACTCTGTTTTTTTTGAGTTTTAAACTGATTTGAAAAATGTTTATAACTTCAAAAATTTATATGGATTATTAATGTTTGCTTATCAAACTTTTTTTTGCGAAACAGTCAAAAACATTCTTGTAAATTTAACCGCTTAAACGTCTATTGAAATATGCGGCTCTGATAAAATTACACATAATAGCAACCGAAAAGCTATTTTTTGTATGATATTGATAGTCGGTTTGCAATTCTCGAATCGAAAAGGATCTTTTTCTTTATAATAGTGCTAAATTTATAAGTTTTTCAACAAATATTGAATGTCTATAATTGACAGCGTCATCATCTTTTTTCAGTAGAAGATAAATCTTATTTATTTTTGAGATAAACTGTATATCTTAGGCAACTAACCTAACCTTGTTTCTTCTCTCTCAAAAAAAACGGTTAGCATTCGAAGATGCTAAAATAGTACAAAGGATCTATCGAAATAACAGCGAAAAATGATTTAAGAAGTAACATTTCCTGTATATTAGAGGAAAAAACTATACTTTAATTAAAATTTGATATCAATGAAACCAAAATAGATCTGTCTTGTAAAATGAAGTTGAATGATTAGAATTTAGGCACAAAATTATTTTTTCCAATGTGAATCCCATTATGATGTAAACAACTAAAAGATATCACGTTCTGTTGAAATCAAACGTGGTCCTTATTATTCATATTGTTATGTTCGTCTGCTCGGCTAAAGTAATTGCATAAATCGAAGTAGATAGATTTTATTTTATGTGATGAAGTCTTCGTAAAAAAACAGGATGCATAAGTTACCTCACATTAATCTAACAATGCATAGAAAATTATACAAAGCTTGTTTTTCAAATGACGTTGTAAAAAAAGCTCTCGAATTCTACATGATACCGTTGATAATAACAAATACTTAAGAATCTATATTATAATGTACAAGTGTTTTTCAGTTCTCCGGGAACTTACATATGATTGGTCACAGAACGAAAAAAACAGTATACATATATAAAGCATTTATATGTACGTCTTATATGTCCATTCATTATGTATATACGTCGTGTCTGCTCATTCATTACGTAGAGCGCATGCCCCTCATTAGAACGGTACTTTTTTGTTATCATGTTTCGACTTTAATATCTCGATGAAAAAATAAGTAAATGAGCTGAAATTTTACAACCCAGTAGAAAAAATATTTTTCTATCTATTGATGAAAAAAAATTCTAAAAATATTGAAAAGTGACCAGATTATAAGCGGTAGAATGAACTTGACTGGCATCGTTCTATTTAAGTGCAATCTCCCCAATAAGAACGCTAATGTAAAATTTGCCCCAAATTAGAACGATCCAGCAGAAGTACATAGAAAAATGGGCATAATGAGAAAAACATGTAATATCTGCTTATAACTTCAAAATTAAGTCACGTGTTCGGTAGAAAAGTTATTCCTTATATTTTTCTCTATCTGTCTACAAAGGTTCAGCCTGATATCTTTTTCTCTTGTTTAGATATACGCTTATCTAGCTTCGTTGATTAGATGTAAAAACGTTCTAAATAAGTGCACTGCACATAATTAGAACGGTAATGTAAAAGTTGCCCCAAATTAGAACGGGCCTATGTAAAATACATGGAAGTTAGATAATTTTCCGTAATTTCGCCTAAATATGCTACCGAATTTCAAAATTAGCCTATTATTCTGGAACAAAAGTTGTTCACCTGAATTTTCTCTACAACATATCAGCGGTTTAACTATATCTGACAAAGTTTTATTTTCTTTTTTGATCAATTTTAAAACAAGGGTTTATTGAATAATGTTCAAAAGATAGTTGATTTCACAAAAAAGAAAAATATGTGAAGAAAACGATCGTTTCATTTTTACATGTGGCTAAATCTTTTCATTTTTATGTGAAGGGTAGATAATGAGATTTTTCTGATAGAAAGTTACACGAAAAATAGAGTTTTGTACAAAAACAATAGTTAGAAAATTAAATAGAATTAAGTAAGTAATAAAATAGGGTGTGGGTGTGGGGTGGGGGTGGGTGTGGGTGGGTGTGGGTGTAGATAAAAAGAATACCGGCGGGTGCTTCCTTCCGCCGACTCCCGTACCCACACCCATAATCGATTTGGTGATACCCATTGCTTGGCTTGTGTTTTATCATCAAATTCAATCATCCATTCATTTTTTAAACCAAATCTGATTAATCTTGCTGGATATAACTACAATACACAAAAGAAATAATAACAAATAAGTGATAAAGTTGAGTTACGAACATTAGCATCATTCAATAATACCAATACTTTATCGCCAACACGAAATACTTTTGGATTATTTGCTGGTGGATGGTTGTTTGAACTAAAATTAAACATGATAATTTACAGAATATGAGGAAACCTATGTGCATTGATATCTATGAGCGGATACAAGATAGAATTTAGCATAGATACCTATTGTTTATAACACTGAAAAAAAAATGGTACCATACCGAACCAAAAAAGGTATTTTGAACGAAAAAAGGGTTTCGTATATCGTACGGAACCTAAAAAGGTTTCGAATTCGTTGCAATTCTCTGAACCATTTTAGGTTCGGTACAGACCACTTCGAAAAACTTGAAAAAGTGCCCTGAGGCAATGACAATCAATTTTAGTCACCGACAGTTTTGTATGAAACCTTTTAAGGGTTTCGTATTGTCTTCCTAAATGGTTCGGTACGCTGCAAAAAAATTTGTATGATTACGGAACCATTTAGGAAGACAATACGAAACCCTTAAAAGGTTTCATACAAAACTGTCGGTGACTAAAATTGATTGTCATTGCCTCAGGGCACTTTTTCAAGTTTTTCGAAGTGGTCTGTACCGAACCTAAAATGGTTCAGGGAATTGCAACGAATTCGAAACCTTTTTAGGTTCCGTACGATGTACGAAACCCTTTTTTCGTTCAATGTACCTTTTTTGGTTCGGTATGGTACCATTTTTTTTTCAGTGAATGATGCACAATTGTGAAAATACTGTTTGAAAAATCGAAAAACTGTCGGAATCAAGTTGATGCATATGTTGTAATTCCAGAAATTCATCTAATTTATAATCTTTAGTCGTACTACGACTTACAGCATATTGTTTGATTTCCTTTTCTAAATGAAAAACATCATTTGCTTCTTTCTTTTGTTGAAGGTATTTTAATAATCTTTCTTCACTAATCTTAAATTCCATCGATATATCATGGAGAAGTTTGAACAAAAAAAAATATTTATTCGATAGTTCGATTATATCACTTTCATACACGATACTTAATATATTTTTTGGTAATGCACGTTTCTTTTTTTCTTCATGTATTTTTTTGTGAGCCATGAGAAATAAATCACGAATGAGTATACGTTTTTCAAGAATTTTTTCTTTTTCAACTCTTCTCTTTTCACTTATTTCTATTTGATTGAGTCTTGTTTTTAATTCTTCAGTTTCATATTTAATTTTTTGTAAATTTTTCCTTAATTCTTCATTTTCTTTTTCAACATCGTTTGTCTTTTTCTAAATTAGATATGAAAAAAAACTAGAATAATATAGTTAGTAATTCAAAAGTCAAAAATTATTACCGAAATATGTTCGAAAATCGTGGATATAATACTAAAACTGGACTCAAGATAATCCACAAGTTCTCCAAATGCTTTTTCAAATTGTTGTACATCAATGACTAATTTTAACCATTTATTTTTCCAATTATTAAGATTCGTTTTTAATTGATAATATAAATCTTGTATTTGATGATCACGTTTATATTGTTCTGATGAACGAAAATCATTTTTTATTACATCAATTAATTCGTTAAATCATTTTAATATCATATCACGTTCATCTTGTTGTTGATCAGGTCCTTTTATTTGATTTTCGTACAATGTACATAAAGCTTTTTTCACTGGTGTGCTAAGAAAAGCTTCATTTTCAATGCGATCAATCATATGTCGAGTTTGTATTGATGTTGACATATTTATAATGAACCTGTAAATTATTAGTACAAAATAAAAATAAAATGCTTTTTTTAATGCTACCTTCGTCCCTTACGATGAGGGTAATGATAATCGACCAAAGTCGAAGCAGAAGGCTGAAGTAGTCTAATTCGTTGATTGGTTATTTTATTCATGTTCATGTAATGCATTAAAAGCGCTATTAATCGTATAAGATGGCGCCCTTATATGATATTTATTATACGTGTTAGTAAAAGTTAATTTTTTTTGATTAATTTTGTGACTAAAATTAGTGTACTTACGACTCATTTCACATAAGAACATACTGCATATTTGATTAGTTTTAAGCATGTTACTTAGTCCAGTTATCAACAGACAAAAACAATTGAATCTATATGTTTGATTGACACAACATCATCTAGAGGATAGGTGTGGTGTGTGGGTGCGGGTGGGTGTGACTGTGACTGTGGCTGTGCGTGGGTGTGGGTGGGTGTGGCTGTGGCTGTGCGTGAGTGTGAGTGTGGGTGTGGGTGTGAGTGGGTGTGGGTGAGTGTGGCTGTGTGTGGGTGTAGATGTGGGTGTGTATATTAGCCGTAGTAATAGCCACAATCATATGCACACCCATACCCATATCCACAGCTCTCACCCACACCCACACCCACACCCACACCCACACCCACACCCACCCACACCCACCCACACCCACACCCACCCACATCCACACCCACCCACACCCACACCCACCCACACCCACCCACACCCACCCACACCCACACCCTGTTCATATTGATGATGAATTCGCTTTGCTCACGCGAAGGATAAATGTGAAATATTTGTCTTTCGAAGAATGTTTGTGTACAAGCAAGAATAGCAACAGGATTTGTTTGAACATATACAGAGACATGATCGCTTCGAAGTAATCAATACAAAGAGATCAGATATGCCACAATGGAGGTGTCGAGTTACAGCATCTCGCTTCGTTCTGGTGACCTATTCATCAGTCTTGGCAAAATATTCATGAATTGCTGTTCGGCTTCTTGAACTAATTTATGGTGTTTCGGAAGTTTCTGAGCGATCAATACGGTTAAAGCGGAGAACATCTCAGCCGTAGTCGAATACCCCATCCTCTCGCAAACATCAGCTATTTGTTGACTGATGCTGACTATAGTTAGGCATTGACTGGGTAATATTATTGTCGGATCATGTAGAGCTATTAAGAACATTAATGAAGCATCGATGGTTTTCCCCTGAGCAAGATTGATCTGCCCCATCTGTTTGTAATACTCAATCCATGTAGGATGTTTTCCAGGCAAATGAACTTGAAGTTGATCGTGAGCTTTACTAAGGTGAGATTTCGCTTCGTTCCATTCACCCCATTCTCGATAAATGACACTGAATTCGATGTGTCGAAGAATGATCTGTTCCGGAGTGTCAGCGCTTTCTAATGCTTTTCTGGTGTAAATCAATGCTTGATCGAAATCATCGCGCCTTAAATGCACTTGACCAAGAGCTGCCCAGGTATCAGATAATGAGCATTGATCATGGAGCAATAAATACTTCAGTGCTTGTTCTAGGGCATAAAATGCTCTAACATAGTCTTCTTGTTTGACATACATTTGTCCGAGCAAAGAGAACGCTGGACCAATTAAATGACTCGCCGTCATTGATTGGTGAATCAGCTGATAAATGAATTCTTCTGCTCGATCATAATCACCCATTTCGAGCATCAGATGAGAGAGTGCAAGCAGTGTGGAAGGAGTTTGATCGTATTTCCTTCTCAAATAAAGGATAAGGTTTTTGATCTGCTTATCATCAAAATCGAGATCATGAGTTAATGTCAGAGGTATGGTAAATAATGGAGACGGGTAACGACTTGTCATCTCCACTTTGCCCATGCGGAACAGAGCACCAGTGGAAAAAAGAATTTCTGCCTCATCTTCTTTGTTACCAGGCAGCACAACATCGGCAAATGGGCAATGAAAAATCCCCGCATCTGCCGACAACGGTGGTATCGTCACTTTCATCAACACGGCCGTGGATACTGATGATACGGATGCACTTTCTGCAAACGACCCACCAACTAGCGGATCTCGACTTGTCGAAAGGAAATTGTCAAAGTGCAAAACAGCACCAGGCCCTTGATCTATGTATCGAACAACCTGGTGAACGGCCATGCACGTTCCACGATAAACCATCGTTGTATCTTGTTTCTGCGCCCATTGTTGTTCGTCATAAAGCTTCATCAGCTCATGGTCCAAATGTCGAATGAAGAATCTCATTCTGTGTAAAACCATTCGGTCTTGGTTGAAGAGAGCTTCGTTGATTATCTCATGGTGGAAGGTCGGACGTTTATACCATTCAATGGCAGTGAGCGTGCTCAGAAACGTCTGATCAAACTGATCGACAACGGCTAATTGTTTTGGATTATCCTTGAATTTCTGTCGTAAATAGTTGAACATATCATATCGAGCATCGGAATCGGTCTGATCGTATCGAAGAAGAATTCGGTAGAAGATTCGCATATAGACAAAGAGAATACTGTGTTCGTTTGTTGGACGTTTTATGGTCAATAGAGTCGACGCTAGCTGTCCGAAACGCAGCTGAAACGGCAAATTATTGTTTCTGAACCAAGAGAAATCTGCTGGTAGACCATACAAGAATAACATTAACAGATCCACAATATCCCGCACTTTTGATGGCCGCTCGAGAAAAGTTCGATCATTTGCTGCACAATCGCTGTTTGATGTGAGATCATTGAAACAAAATTGGTAGATCCGCTTAATCTGAGGAATATCCAATATCAGCGGAACGGTTCCTTCGATAAGCTGCTGACTAGTGATGAGCAGAAGTACGTGCGGTGTTTCCGGGAGATCAGTTACAAAATCCAAGCATTGATCAGGATCATTGAACAGACATGCATCATTGTCTTCGAAATAAGAACGAATCTCACTCAAGATTTTCAGCTGACAATCGCTGCGTGTGGTATCATCGTCCAGCCATGCCATGATCGTTTTCGCTGATCCATGATCACCTTCCATTCACACGACAACAAATGTTTCTTTTTCTTGTTCTCAACTGGAAAAAAAACAAGAGTAATGTCTATTGAAACATTATCGCCACGCTGCTTTTCTGTCGTGCATTCAGAGCTTTTACCTTTTCTTCCGCATCAGCACCGGTCGAAAAAACATTATTTGCCCGGAGGTTCGTCGGCCACCTCCAGTTAGTGTGAAACATCATGAAAGAAATGACGTTTTCTTTCTTTCAGAATGGAAAATTAGATTGAAACTTTCTTTGCTTTCCCTTTCTAGGGAAAGAAAAGAAAAGAAAAGAAAAGGAAAGGAAAGGAAAGCGAATGGTTAACTACAGAATAGAATTAGCTTCTCGAAAAAGAGTTTGTAAGTCGCTCCCGATCGAAAAGATCACAGGTTTACTGCGTTACACCCATGTAAAAAATTTTGGCAAAAAATCAGCATTAAAAATGATTTTTGGCTGTTAAAAATAGATTAAAGAGTGGGTGTAGGTGTGGGTGTGGAGCTTTTTTAAACTCACACCCATACTCACACCCACATCCCACACCCACAATCACAACCACACGCACACGCACATCCACACCCATACCCGCACTCACACCCACCCACACGCACACCCTCCCGCACTCCACACCCACGCCCAACATCACACCTCCACATCCCCTAAAATTCACACTCACACCTTCAAATTCGGTTCTAATATTATCCTTACATCAAAATATGCTTATTAACATTTATATATTAGTCCACGTTGAAATTATGGTTATGTATTAAAGATCAACATCAACTCATATATCAAAATGAATGTTAGGTTATAGTTTCATATATACATTAGATGATGGGTTAAGATTAACATCAGGTTATTGTTCAAGATTAACATTTGGTCATGGTTTAAGATTAACATCCAGTTTTGATTCAAGATTCACATTATGTTTTGGTTTAAAATTAACATCAAGTTATGGTTTATGATTAACATTAGGTTATGGTTTAATGATTAGCAACAGGTTATGGTTTGAAATTAACATTAGGTCATGCATCAAAATCAATGTTAAGTTATGAATGTGTTAACATCAGTCCATATAAAAAAAGAAGATAAAAAATCTGATTTTAATCAACTTTTTTCGATCAATAATCGATTAAAATGGCACGATTTTAATCAGATTTGTATTCGATTTCTTGATTTTTAATAAATTTCAATCGATTATTTGATTGTTAATCATTTTTAATTTCTGTGATTACAAAATGCGTTTTCCTCCTGTTTTCACCCAGAAACTTCAATTTTTGATCATTTTTTCTCACTTCTCCTGTCGACGAAGGGTAAGTATAGTCTCAGCCCTACCCTGGATACATTTCACATCTGACATTGATTCATACGCACTCGTGTACGCCATAGTGCCGATATTTAAGATTAAAATCGATTTCAGTCGTATAATCGATTTTGGGGTGTTGGTGTTAGGCATGCACCGAGCCCGAACTATAGTTCGGGGTTCGGACCGAACGGTTCGGGTTCGGGTTCGGGCTCGGGCTCGGTCAGAAAGTTCGGGTTCGGGTTCGGGCTCGGTCACAAAGTTCGGGTTCGGGTTCGGGTTCGGTCCCAGAGTTCGGGTTCGGTTCGGGTTCGGGTTCGGATTCGTATGATCAAAGGTGAAACTGTTCATAGTTTAATAAAAAAAAAAAAGGTAACATTTTTTATATATATCTTATTCACCACAATGCACACACTCTCAAAGTAGTGAAAGAAGGAGGGACACGACTGAAGATATTACTGATCTATATCGTATATATATAACGGAAAACAGCATGCCAGAACTGAATTGAATCGATTTTTGATCTTTTTACATAAAACCATTGCTCACAACACAGAAATAATTCTCTGTGATGCAAAGTATTATGGATAACATCTTATCTCCAAATAAGTTTTTGTCAAAGAGAAAAGAATCTTTGGGTAACTAATACGATAACTGTCTAATTATATCAGCCTATAGAAGAGTCCCTCTATCCAGTGTAATAGATTCATTAAATGATGAGAGTAGTATATTTGCTATAGCAAATCAGATAAAGGAACTCATTGTTCAGGAAGCATGATGATTTAATGTGAAACATCGTCGATACTTCAACAGTTAAACCTGTACATTAAGCTTTTGCTATTTTTTATCGATATAACATATGTCATTTTCAACAGAACTTGATAAAATAAAGTTGGATGCTATATTAATACATAAATTATCTTTAATGGAAACGACAAATACCGACTCTTGCCTTTATTTTCTTGGTAAGATAGTTCTATAACAATGGCATTAGAAACGCAAAACAATTGTTCAAACTTTTGACACAAATCTCTTACAGACCTCTACGAAAAAAATCAAGCCAATTTAAATAAAAATTGTTTTTGAGTTTAGGAATCGGTTACAATTAAAGGAACAGTGGAATATGGGCGATAAACTGTAAAAATTTTATGTATAATAGAAAAATATTTGTTACTAGCGAGAGCCAGTGCATACTGCAAGGATCCTTTTTTCCTGTAAAGTTTCGCATCTGTCCTTTAGCCTTGATTGGGTAATAGACAATCAGTCAGTTCGCATTATATATAGAGAGACCTTATAGCCTTATACCCTCGTACTCTTACACCTTTGTAGCCCTATACTATCGTGGTATTACCTCTTATACCCTACTTCCATTATTTCCTTATCCCTTATATCCGATGCAGCCTTACCTACTTATACCCTACACCCTTATCTCCTTATACTCTTTTAGTTTTATCCCTTATACCCCTGTAGCCTTAGCCTCTTATCCCCTTTATCCTTATCCCGTAATCCCTTATATCCTTATCCCCTAAACCCTTATATCCTTATCCCTTAATCCCTTATAGCCTTATGGGCCTATAGATCCCTCTATATAATAGCCCTTGGCGACCTATGGTTACCCCTATATAATAGCCCTTAAGGGTATATGGGTGCCCCCATATACCAGGTCATGAGGACCTATGGGCACCTCATATAATAGCCCTTGAGGACCCAGGAGTACTCCATATGGTAGTCCTTGAGAACCTACGGGTAACCCCACAGGATAGCTCTTGAGGATCTATGAGCACTCCCATATAACAGCCCTTGAGGATCTATGGGTACCTTCATATAATGGCTCTTGAGGACCTATGGGTACCCCACAGGATAGCTCTTGAGGAACTATGCGCACCCACATATAACAGCCCTTGAGGATCTATAGGTACCCTCATATAATAGCTCTTGATGACCTATAGGTACCTCAATATAATAGCCCTTGAGGACCCAGGGGTACTTCCACAGAATAGCCCTTGAAGACCTATGAGCACCCCCCGTATAACAGCTCTTGAGGACCTATACGTACTTCATATAATAGCCCCTAAGGGCCCAGGGGTACTCCCATAGGATAGCTATTGAGAACCTACGGGTAATCACACAGGATAGCTCTTGAGGACCTATGAGCACTCCCATATAACAGCTCTTGAGGACCTACGGGTACCTTCATATAATAGCCCTTGAGGGTCTACGGGTACCCTCATATAATAGCTCTTGAGGACCTATGCGTACACCCACAGGATAGCTCTTGAGGGTCTATGAGTACCCTCATACAACAGCCCTTGAGGACCTATGGATACCCTCATATAAGCGCCCTTGAGGCTCTACCGGTACCCTCATAAAATAGCTCTTGAGGACCTATGAGCACCCCCATATAACAGCCCTTGAGGTCCTATTGGTACCCTCATATATAATAGCCCTGAGAGTCTTCCCCTTATCGCCATATCTGACCTTTAACGTTTGACCCGGCACAGACACACACATACGCACACACTGAACATTATATATAGATGACCAAACCGATGAACTAGTTGAAATATATTCCGAACCCGAACCCGAACCGAACCCGAACTCTGAGACCGAACCCGAACCCGAACCTGAACTCTGAGACCGAACCCGAACCCGAACTCGAACTCTCGGACCGAACCCGAACCCGAACCGAGCCCGAACTCACCGAACCCGAACGTTCGGGTTCGGTGCATGCCTAGTTGGTGTGCGCATCGCGCAATGAATCAAGGTACCCACAGGCACATCCACACCCGCCGACATTCACACCCACACCCCACCCTTCGACAAGATTGTCGTAAAGCAGCTTGCAATTGTCTTGTTAATTCACCCATTATAAGAACCTCGGCGAAACTTCGACGTTTTCTCAGAACATTATATAAATATTCGATGTTTTCATTCTCCTTTATAGTTGTCTTTTGCATTTGAGATGAAATCAACTTATGAAGATTATATTAATCCAAATTTACCTAATAATGAACCTTTAAGCAAGGTTCGAAACGTGTCGTATAGCGCTTTGAATCTTATAATTCTTTCGAAACTCACCCTCACCCTAATATGGTTCAGAAGAACCTGAGTTCCACCGTTGTTCTTAATTTAGTTGATCAACTGCCGAACAGTGTCAAGCAAGGTCGCAGCAATACGTTTGATCGTTATTTTACGGATATTAAATTATCTAACGCTCTACTCGATCGTAAAATGGCTTCTGTTGGAGTTGTTGAACATAGACGTGTTTTTCTGCCCAACAAGTTGAAAGTATGCCGAAAACAATTGTTTTCATCATAGTTTTATTTTTCTCAACCGCATCTGCTGTTGTTCTATCAGGCGAAGGAGAAAAAAGCCAATATCATGCTATCGTCTTTACATACACATGCTGAAACATTCGACGATGAGAAGAAATTGCCCTGTGTGATTCACGACTATAATAAGACAAAATGTGGTGTTGATGCTAAGGATCAATGTATTGGTAATAACACGACGAGATGAATCACTCGTCGACGGTCGATGATTATATTTTACAATATGATTGATATTGCCGCACTCAATGCTATGACGGTTTGGTTGTGTCAAAACGCTACATGGAATAGTAAAAGGACAAATATCCGTCGTATCTTCTTATCACAGCTCAGTACGGATTTAACAGTCTTGCAAAACCAGCGTCGCAGTCAAAAACCTCGTCTCATGCCAAAAGTGAAGCTTGCTTTATTCTCCCTTGGTTATCGTCTTCGTTCGAATGTCGTCGAAGAACTAAGTGTGAACAATCATCCGGATCGAGAAAAACCAAGGTATTATTTATATCCAGCGCAGCTTGGGAGAAAAGTTCGACAAACCTGTAATAGTTGTAGATAGACTGTATGTTTTTCTCACTCGTCCAGCATGATGATAGTCACTTGTCAACAATGTAAAGACAAGGACTAGAGAGAACATACGTTGGATTTACCAAACCAAGTTAAACCGCAAGAACTATTTTATATGAAAAAGATATTACCATTTTACACACTTTAAAATCATAGTGAAGGAGAAGAAGAAAGAAATAAAGATATTTGAAAATAAAAACTTTTTATTTTTCATTTAAACAACATGTTTAGGTCAAGATATCAGCATGTTTCCCTATACTAAACTGAAGGATTGATTCTAAGATTCCTAAGTTATGCTTCGATGCTCTTATGAAAGAATTTTACAATTTTTTTTTAGAAATTGCACATCATCGTGCTGTGAAGATGGAATCAGACACATCAGTCCTCACAAGAAGAATCTTTACAGCTTGCTAGTACATCAATGAGCAGTTTGAATAGAACAGAATATCGAGTTTTTGTAGTATTCCGTGATTGGGCCCAAGCGGACCCCACGACACAGACGAAGGGTTAAGCTGTTTTATTCTTCAGTCGTGTTCATGTCAATAGAACAGAACATTGTATACGAGGGCATGCAGGAAAGACTAAAGGAAGAGCATTGACAGAACAAAAGAAGAGAACAAATTTAGAGAATAGAATGAGAGAGTAATTGAAAACGAGAAGAGTATATCCTTTAGCTTTTCATAAGTCAGAGCTAAGGAAAGATCCTTGTCACATCATTTATGAAGACACGATGGATCAGGTGAAGAGGCGTTCACATCCGATATGAGTGTGTCTCATTTATTATTACAGAAACCTATAAAACACGTCAGTTGAGAAATGGATCCATATTGACCAGTTTCAGTACTCGATCGATCTAAACAGAAAATGGTTTCACAGATTTTTCTTGGGACTGTTTGCTA